GTTGCTGAACACCGTTCTGTGCTCTCTACGTTTGTCCCTCAACACTGATTCATTGACGTACATTAGCAGAATGTGAGTTGGCAGAAGGGCAGGTGAATGCAAGGAGACAAGAAGATAGGCTGAGCTTACAATGACCGGAAAAAGAAATGCTTTATATAAGAAAAATGGTTACACAGAAGAAACACAAATGATACCTCCTGAAAAGACCATAAAGAAGATGATTTTAAATATATGTACAAAGTTATGATAACTGAGAGTTTACATAATCAGTAAGGCTTGAAGAAAAGCAACAATTTTCACAATGCTTGTTCCGCCATTCCTATATTCATCAGCTCATGAAAGAAACTACAGGTATGTTTATAGAAGAACAATTATTACAAAGAAGCTATTCTAGCTTCTGTGGATTTCTACTATGTTTTTATTATTTCCAATTCTTGTAATCCCTTATCACTATAGAATAAAATGTAAATTCCTTCACTGTTTTGACAAAGCCAGACTCAGTGCGTCATACTGAAGATAGACTTACAAAATGGACTTAAAACAGGGCGCAAAGTTAGATTTTTCTCCACATGAAGGCAGTGTGGAGACACTTCATACTGTTTTAGTTTTTATGACTGACTTTTCAGTGTAGCTTCTGGCGTTTTTTTACAAAGCTGTGATTATTAAATGTTTGAGCAAAATTTGCCTATGGCATTGTGATTTTTGTTTTGTCAGATGATACTGCTTAAACAAGTATACACACGTTATGTTCAGGCAACATTAGAAAAAAGCTCTAACGAATAATTTTTTAAACTCTGAAATTGTTAATCAGTCAACTGATAAACTTCTTTGCATGATGGAAAATATTTTAAGCACACAATGCAAAAAACTTTCCACTAGATGAAAAAATCTGTCGGATCATATTTCACAATGGAAAAGATGTTTATGCATGGATTGTATCACAATTACTGCAAGATATTACATATTGTTTTCCACATAGGAAGTCAAAAGGCTAGTGAGGGACAAAAAACACGAAAAGAAACCCCAAACCCTAAGTTGCAAAGTTAAGGATAAAGTGTTGAAGGCTTGCAGAAAGAGGTTGTGAGATTTAAGGACAAGGTTCAATAGTGATCACATTGATCATGGCTACACTAACAAGGCCTGGAGAAAGCTAACTGCACATATTATGTGAAGTAAAATAGCTATCTATGGGAAAATGTAAAAAGTGACAATTCGAGGCAGAAGACATGGTAGTAACGCAATTATGTGTAGAACATAAAGGAACAAAAAGTATAAGGTATAAAAGTAGAACAGTGAAATGAAAACACAATTTATCTTTTTTTTGTCTCTCTAGGAAATAAAATTAAGAAAGAAGCAGTTACAGAAGTCTGAAAGAGATGGGCACCTGAAACACTAAGTAAACTCTTTTTGTGAAAGAGTAAAAGGAATACTCATTTCTTGGATCTTGGCTTCTTAAAGAACTGAGGACATGGGAGCTGCACAGCCATTCTTAATAGTCCTTAAAAAGCAATTAGAATTTTGTAAGTAAAATACCGTTTGTGTGGCAATGAAAATCACTTCTGAATTTTTACAAAAGATGCTGCATATACTGTAGAAGAGAAAGTGTAAAAGTGGATATCCATATAAAACCCAGAGACAAACAGCTTAAATATAGTTTATAATACTGAGCAACTGAATCATATATTTGACAAACACATTAAAAGAACAAAGAAACCTAGAGGTACTGAAAAATACGCCAGTTAGAAAGACTGCTCCCTAGACCTATGAGACCTAATATTAACCCTTGCAAGTAAGAAAAAACATAACAAAATAAGAGATATCTACCTACTATAATGAGATCACAGGAATGGAAAAGAAGAAAATATTTTAGGCTTATTATGAAAAAATAATAGAGGGAAAGGATAAGTGAAATCCAAACTTATCAGACATCACTAAAATGAAGGTAAACACATGTTCTCAATTTCTTAAAGCTACACTTCGGTAACAGTGTATTTTAAAGTGAAAATAGACATGAAATATTTGAAGTCTCAGTTATTTTGATTCCACATATTTGATTCCACATATTTTTGTGGGGGAAAAAAAACCACACTAGCGAATATTTAATTCTCACAGGTAACAAATAGTCTTCATATAAGTATGCAACTTCTTCACCAGTAACTAGTTTATAGTATTGTGTGCTGAAATTCACGGTACTGTATGGTGAAGACTTCTCCAGCCTGTTAAGAGCCTTGTGGCACAAAACTGCTATTAGTTACTAGTTAAGTAATGGTTAGTAGTTAGTAGTTAGTAAGAATTAAATTGTTAGCTTTAAAAGATATTAATCCAAACATTATTTATTTCAGTTTTATCAGAGTAAATAAACCCAGAATTATTTATTCATATGAACTGTGTTCCTAGTTTTTAAATAAGATAAATTTTGACTATCAAATAAAAAAAATATTTAGGGACAACAGATTAAGCGTAGTCTAAACTTTAGATTACATTTTATAAACCAAGCACAGGTTTTTGATTTTCTGCACTCCAGTTACAAGAATGAAAATACCTTTACAGTGCTGACAACCCAACAGTGAAGGTATAAAGGTGCAACAGGTACAAAATAGAACATGCAACTGATCTTCATTGTCAATCAAGAAATGCAAGCAATAAATACAGTCATTTAACTCTGAATATTCAAGTAGATGTTTAAAGATTTTACAGTGCCACTTATATCAAAAACTAATGACAAAGGTTGATGCTTACTTCTTCATGTTCGCATACAAAAATATATCTGCAATGTCAAGGAAAGGGAAGATGGGAAAACTTCAGTAAGCATTAAAGGTACCAGAATACTTTATAAACAGCAACACAAGACCCATCTGAGGCCCGGAAGAACTATTTTTCCATTTTGATATTTGGGAAATTCAGACAGATTTAAAACAAAGAGTCCAATGCACTGCTAGATTTTAGATGTCTGAAGCTATGTGGTTTTGGTTTTCTTTCCACAGGAATATCTATGTATGCATTGCTTCTATTGATCTAAGCTGCAGTGACAAATACTCAGTGCTTGTGAAAGTTTTGCCACACATTTCTCAGTTTACAGGTCTTAAATATGAAACAGCTAACTCAATGAGTACAAAGTGACTTGTCCACTATCACATTTTTTGGATTTTATGGAAGGAGAGTGAGTCGTATTCATTTCTCTAAGGAGGCTATTTGATCATCTTTTTTTTGCTTGAATCAGGATGCAGGCCTTCTGCTCTCCAACTGTATAAAACGGAGTAAAAAAAGAAAGTGTTCTACAAAGCTGATTTTATTCATTATGAAGCACTAACAGATTTCTTGTGCACTATCCATTCAGTGCATTACGTGATACAGGAATCACGTCAAAAGTCACGTCTCAAATACAAAAGGGACCAAAATAAAGTTTCACAAACAATCATAATCTTGGCATTTCTACATTTCTAAACTCTAAGTTGAGTGCTTGAGGTAGAATCTGAATAATATTTTGACTTTTTCATGTTGCTTTGTAATTAAAAAAAAAACCAAACAACCCTGACTTCTGTAACAAATAGTCAGTACCAACTTTATCTGTGGAGCAGGAATCCCTTCACCAAAATATGTGGCTTGATTATCTGGCTGCAGCAGTATCTGGTCATCTTCCCTGAAGATCAGCCATCATGTGGCATAAGACACTCTGAAAGTTTCTCTGAGATACAGAAAAGGGTACTGAGGATCAGAAATCCCCAGTCCCTCTCCTGACTCTCAAAACCAGCCTGCTCCAGAGGGGAGACACTTCAGCCTGCATCTACACCGAACTCCCCCTGGTTCCTCTGTCAGCTTCCTCTACTCAGCGAGGTCTCTTCCGTCTTCCAGCGCGCACACACCACCCTACCTAACCGCTTTCCACTCTTTTAACTCCGCTGAGCAACAGAAATGGTGATTTTTCAGAGGCTCCGAGGCGGCGCCGGCGTATTTCCCAGCTCCCCCTCCGCCACACGCCTCCCC